CCTCCTCCTCCTCAAACTTAGCTCTCCTTTAGATCAGCAATGCCTCTACCCAAGATCTGGCTATCCTGGTCAGAAATCACAGTGCTACCTCAGACTGCATCCTCTCCATCTTCACCCCTGCCGAACAAGGCTCCAAATCCACCAGAACAAATCCTACCTCCCAGGTCCACCCCAGCACAGCCCTAGGAACGGCCCTAATCATTTCTTACTATGTCTACACAGTAGTCTCTCATCTGGACTCTCTCGTTTCCTTTTCTCAACAATCCACCATTCACTCTCTTTCTAAAAGACCCTTTTAAAATCCTTTCAGGACTTCTCAGCCGTTGCTTACAGGATAAAGGCAAAATCCTCTTGGGGACTGAAGTCAAGTTTACTTTTCCACTCTTGTCCCTATTGTATCATGCTATTTAACTTCCTACCCAACTGCACTGTAGTCTCTTTTGCATCCCAGAAACATCATCTGGGAAACACATAGTCTCTTTTCATCCTCCTGTGGTCCCCTGCTCATCCCTAACAAAGCTTGTTCTATGCTTATAAAGTTAGAGAGTTCTTTACAGAGTCCTCTGTTACTCCATCAAGACTTCTCAGAGAGGCTTGGAGTTCTCTGGTTGCCAGTGATAGAACTCAATGCAAATAACCTTATTCTGGAGAGAACGCTCCTATCACAAAGACAGTCCTTGAGAAAGATGGAGTGGGGCTGGGCTCAGTGACTCTGTCCATGGACTTGATCATTATCAGGTCTCTCTGGCTCCTCTAGTTCTCTCTGAATACAGATATGCCATTTTCTTCTACTACACATGAATCTTGTGCATGAAGCTAGAAGCAAGAAAACTGACAGTTGCAAGCCAATGGCCTTAAGAGCATGTAGCCTGAAAGAAAAGAGATCTATCCTTTATCAGCGCCAGACCAGAAAAGAATGACCAAGTTTAGGCAATATCCCCCCTGCAAGGGCCATGACAGCAGCCAAAATGGAAAAATACTTTGATCAACTCAGGCCATACCACTTTGTTAGGGTATTTTCCATAAGGGAACAGTACAAACATGGCTTGGGAGGAAATCATTCAAATGGGAGGGACACTCAACTACAAAGTCCTTGAGCTCCTAAATAGACCTGTGGATATTTCTTTTTTTATATACTTATACATATGATTTAGTAAATTTAAGATGCATCAACTAGAGTTAGCCAG